AGTTTCTACACTTCGTCAATGGTATAAAAACGTGTTCATATATACTATTTTCCGTGTATAGTATTTCATTATAAACCATAAAATTATCAATCAACTTGATAGACTTATATAATATATCAAACACATTGCCATAATTTTTTACATGACAAAAAACCTTTTTTGCGCAATAAAATAACAATATACTTAAATATTTTAACGACCTGTTAAACATTGCCTTTTTGTAACACTCTATGGTAAATGTTTCATCTCCTAGTTTTTTTACATCACAAAGTTTCATTGACTTGTGAACACCTTCAACATTTATATCAACTACTTCTTCATAAACATATATCCAGTTATGAAACGGATAATTTTCACTGCTGACCTGTGGTATTTGATATCCCAAACTTAAAATTAAAAAAGTTATCCCCAATATAGAGGTCATTTTTTAAAATATTATTTGTACGTACTTGTTATATTTTATTTAACATAAAACAATTCAGGTGATTAATGAAAAACATGCAAATTACGTAATTATTTTATAATAACCATTATTGTATGTACAACAATAACATTTTATTGTGAAAAATAAAAACCATTTTCTAATATAAATTATTAAACACACAATATTTGAAATATTTTTAATTATTATATAAATAATTTTATGGTTACATAAGTTTATTTAAAAATAACTTCTGTTTAACAAGCACTGGTCTTGTTATAATAAGTTTAATCTATAGTATTTTTTCAAATTCAAATATTTATTCACTTATTATTATTGTAGAAATAATAATTATACTAAATTTTTTTTTGATATTTAATCTAAGATTTTATTATTAATAGATTCTACTAGAGTGGGTAAAAACATCATTTTTTATTTATTTTACTTATATAACCCAACCATTTTCACATAGAAGATAAGTCATCGGGACAAATTTTTTTTTCAACTTATAGTACATAACATTAGGTTAATTTTAGTATATGTTTGAAGCTCAGAGTATTTCCGGAACATTTTCAAAACTTAAGTTGAAAAATTAAAATTCTTGTGCAGAAGTTGCTATTTTGAATTCCCCTCTGTGGGCAGATAAAGGGTCATATTTTTAAAAAGTATATATCAAATGAAAGGAAAATATTTATGGTTTCAATATAAAAAAGAATAATTTTGATTCGTTCATTTTTCAATAAGTTATAGTAATTTTTAGAAAAATAAGTTTTAAAAATGTCGAAATTTACCGATTGTAAAAATCGTAATATTTTGGTCGATTTTCAATATTTACGGGTAACGAAGGTAAAAAGTAGTGACAAACACAAAAAAAAAATAAACACTTCATGGTAAAATTAATACCTTCTCAGCTTCGCATCGAAGCTAAAAAATATATTTTAATCAGGTTAAGTCAAAATATATATTGTCTTATTTATTTATCCTAAATCATTTTTTTAAACAAAGAACAGTATACCCTCTAGTGTGTGCTTAAGCATAATTTGTCATAAAAAACAATTTTTTGACCATTCTTTTTAAAAGTTAAATTTAGCATAGGTTTTAATCGAGGGCTTGTTTAGAATCTAAAAAAAAAAATATTGAATAGGATATTTTTTAATATTTTAATTATGAATTGCAGAAAGTGAGTAAATCCATTTTTACTAACTTTTTATTATTATGTTTAATTAAGATTTAGTAAATACTTAATTTACTACAGAACGCAGTCAAATGACGATATCACTCAAAAGTATCGTTCCACGAATATTACTTAATATCTATTCAGCAGTAATATAAGAATATAATAGTAAGAAAAAAAATAGTAAAGACACGGATTAAAATAAAAACGGAACTGACCAAATTAAAACTATATTCAAAACAAAATTAATATAATTTTATATTTTTTGGATAACAGACAAAACCATCTTTTTGAAAGAGGGAATCGTAAGACGACGAATTGATGCAGATACACGTAAGATGTCAGAAAACGGAGAGAGAGCGTTCACCACTGACACACGGTGGTCGACCGCTCTCCAGTAGATAGACTTTGCGCCCTAACTAGATTGCAGGGTACTCTATCAGACTGGGCTCGTAATGTAGTAAGGTGACTGATGAAAGTATGAACTGATCGTATATTAAATGTATCACAAAATATACGGTACCGTGTCTGTTGTAAATAGTAATAACGTGTCATGATTAGCAAGGTCGAAAATTAGCTATCTATATTTGTAATCCGTTGTGTGTAATACACAGGATTTGAAATAGAAATGATTTTTTGAGTTACGACGGAGGTTTCAATTTTCAATTAATTGATATGTCGGTTTAGGTTTTGATTTTGATAAAATCAACGGTTTAAAACGTGTTATAAATTAATTTTATAATATAACAATTTTCATTTTTTTTTTAGTTACGATGACAAGTCGAGAAGGTATTAATTTTACAATGATTTATTCATTTTTTTATTTATTATATTTTTGTGATTTTTCACTTTTTCACTACTTTTCATTAACTCAAGCTGGATCGATTTTACTCAACGATACGAAAAGTGATCATAATGGTATCTAGTTGAAGACATTGCCTTCGAAAATTGAAAATTTTCTCATTGTTCTTCATAAATGGCGGAAATCCTCTAAAAATTACGATTTTTTAAATCGATAAATTTTGACAATTTAAAACATTTTTTTTTTTAATGTTATAACTTTTTAAAAAATTTATTGAAATCATTTGTTTTTATGGACATTTGATATACATTTTTTGAATACCAATTAAACCAAAATTCAAAATAATAAAATTTTCCTAAAAATACCTTGTCTTTCATGAGCAAATTTCTACCGTATTTACGAAACGTGTAATTTTTGGTTTCATATTTTATTTTTCCAATAAACAGTTATAACTTTTTGAAAATATATGTTTAAATGGATAAATACTTGTTTTTTTTTGTAAGTATTTTATACATATTTATCTGACAAACTTTTTTAAAGTAGAGTACAGTAAAAAGGAGAGGATACAGTGATATGGGGTCACCTATTTTCATAATTTTTATATCAATATAATATACATTGAATATAAAATTAAACTTATTTTGACTTTTTTGACAATACATCCCTTGTAAATGAAATAAAACAACTTTTTGATAATTTGAAACATTTGTATAAAAAATAGAAATTTTCAAATTTTTTTTGAACGTATACAGAATTTCTGCATTGTTTAATAATATATTAAATAATAGGTATATTAATTATTATCTACTTCAATTTTCGTCTTCAATTATTATATATAAAAGGGTTAGAATAATTAAAATTTATTTTCTTTATGAACTGCCTATTTTTTTGATAAATCAATGTTACAATTATGATAGTTAGGTGTTCAAAGTAAGGAAACAGGTTTCCTTTATCCTCATTCTTTGTAACACCTGACCTGTTTCCTTACTTATTCAGCACCCATATTTGCCATGGAGTTAACAAATTATGCAAACAAATTACTATACTAAATTATTAATATGAAAAATTTAAATCATAAAACTTATAATCATGATTAATTAAGGGCATGGGAGTTGTTATTGCTTTTGGGATAATCAAAAAATTCTTCTAAAAATTAAACACTGTCTACAAATTTGCATCGAAGCGTTTTTTGTGATAGTGTTTTTAATCACTATCAGATATCATCTATACTTGTCCCAACTATACCTCGACCTACTGCACTTGGATGGGTTGTGTTTTTTTTTTATAAAATACGATTTCTGATTGAGATATGCTATGATATATCAATGAATGTGATATTTCTATGGATATATCCAAGTTGTACTGTAAAATTTTTCCATGGAAGGACAAACTATTTTTTTAATTTTTTCTTTCAATGTATCATTCTAAGTGCAACAAGAGCTTATACCCCTCATTTAATTAATTAGCTTTCCAAAAAATATGTATGTTATTATTATATACACGTATAATATTTTTTAAATTAAAGAGAAAATACAATTGACATATTGAAAAATGTTATTTGTGTAGGTACATATGATGCTTCACAGAAAAAATATAATAAATAATAGATTTTTTGGTAATTTATATTATTTATAAAGTTAAGTGTCTCTAGAAAATTAATAAAAAAAATCAAACTTACATTCATTTATCATATATTATATTATATATTTATACATATCATTAATCTATAAAAACAAAAATCATAATTTCGGAATTCATAATATACAAATATAATTAAAATAACATTTTTTCATCATTAATTAAAAAAAATTTTTTTGCAAAATTTTATAAAACAATGTGATTATGAAAATTAACCCAGCAAAAAGTCAAGGGGGCTAACTCTCTAAAGTGTCCACTTCTGTCGTGACACCCATGGATAACCACTGATGGTTAGTAAAACATTTTAACAAGAGTTAATTTTTTTTTATATTTTATAAATAATTAAAATTTTTTTTATATAGATGAATGACGTCTTTAAATATTATTTGGTATAATTTTTTTTTAAATCGAACCATTTCCCTTAATACAGAGGGGTTTCAAAACTCAAAAATGCATATAGAAAGTAGAACTTTTATTCCAACAGATATAAAAAATCTGAAATCTAATTTTCTTATAATAGTAACCGCTAATTATATTGTTTTTAGTTTTTGCATTTATGTAATAAAAAATAAATTTTCTATAACTTAAATGATAACTAAATATTGAATAAAAATATTAATACATTTTAAAATATTAACAACAAAATATATATTCAATTATCTAATTAAGATATATATTTAAAAGACTCTAATAACGAAATAAAAATCGTTTTAAAATTTCGGTTTTGGTTTAAGTTACGGTTTTAATTTTTTTATTTTAGTTTTGGTTTTCTAGCCATGATCGTACATAACTAGGATTATACAATTCATGTATTTTATCTCCAAATATTAGAACTTCATATTGTTATAACTGATAAACGAATTAAGTTAAATAAAAAATTCTAACGTTTTAAAGGAAACTATTAATATTTATTAATTAAAAAATTTAACACATTGTTTCTATTTGAAAAAATAATGTGNTATTGTTATAACTGATAAACGAATTAAGTTAAATAAAAAAATTCTAACGTTTTAAAGGAAACTATTAATATTTATTAATTAAAAAATTTAATTACATGTTTCCATTTGAAAAAATAATGTGAAAACCTACAAGACATAGGAGATGAACTTGAAAAGTGTTAAAATAGCTAATATTCGATAAAAATATATAAATAATGTACCTCAAAAAAAATGAAAATGGTTTTTTATCCTGCAAATAATCTTTGTAGAAAGAGTATCTCAAATCTAACTGACAACGTTTATAACTTATGAACAAATTATCATTAAAATTTATTTTATTTTTTAATAATACATTTTTATTGAGTTACCTGTATACTCATTTTAACATATAGAGTGAGTATTTAACACGAGTAGAGTGCATGTACACCAGAATGAGCTATACACACACGTGTTTCATACTCACTAGATGTATTAGATTACTAATTTAAAAACATTTTAACTAAAGATAATTTGGTCAAAATTTATAATCGTTGTAGTATAGATCTGAATAACAATGTATATTGATTTGAAATACTTTTTTTTAGATATTAAAATATTTGCAATTATTTGTTAGCATATTTATCGAAAAATAATTTTAAAAAAGGGTTATTTCATTTTATTAAGTCGAAGTAATATTTTTCAAAACATTCATCTTCATTTCCCAAATACTCCAATTCATCCCGGACTTTATGACGAATTAAAGTTATAGCATCTGCAAACTGTTCTTGTTCTAAATTTCTTGACGGAGGAAATAAATTTGATATTTTCATAGCTTTACTCACCACCGAGTCGAATGGTATCCAAAATTCATCTGGTACTTCAGTAGTGATGTTAAAGTCATCAGGAAATTTTTTAGTTGGAAATAAGTATTTTAGGATTCTTTGTAATGACACACTATATAAATAATTTTTTTCATTCTTACTCATATGATGCTTAAACTCCGTTAATGGTTCAGCAATTGAGCTTATAATAGAATTATTTATTTCAATATATTCCATTGAATTATCAATCAACCTGAGACATTGAAATACTTTACTTAATAAATATTCATTTTCAAACAAGTAAGTTTTTTTTGCACAATAAAATATCAATATGAATAAATATTTTAACGATCTGTTAAGCATTGCTTCTTTATAACACTCTATAGTAAATGTTTCAACTCCCANTCTAAAATCGTACTGAAATCTACACTCAAAATGTTGAATTAAGCAGTTAGTACACTGGACGACGTGACTTCGTCGGTTTTTTCCCTGTACACCAAAACTTTGAGCGCTAATATCTATTAATATAGTTGATTATTTTCCTGTTTCGACCTGTCAGAATGTGCAGTGTCTCTAGCTGAAACTAATGATACCATAATATTCATTTGTGAAAAAAAGTGACTTAGTCGGTTTTTTCCCTGTACCCTTCATTTGTTATATTTTATTTAACATAAAACAATTCAGGTGATTAATAAAAAACATGTAAACTACGTAATTATTTTATAATTACCAACAATGTTGATCCAATATTGTAGGTACAATAATAAAATTATTTTATGGAAAATAAAAACTATAATTGAATAATAATTTATTTTATTTTAAATACAATATTATTTTCTCAGACATTTTTTAGTCTTTGATAAATATTTTAATGGTTGTGCAGGTACATTTAAAAATAACTATTGTTTAACAAATACTGTTCCTATTAAAAAAAGATTCAAGTAATAATATTTTACAAAAAATTATAATTATATCAAAAATATTAATTTAAAATGAATTAAAATTTTTTTTTTAGTTTTAAACTAATATTTTTGATATAATTTTAATATTAAATAATTAGCTACACGTGATCAATTTATATTTTCTATATATTTTTTTTTCATTTATTTAATTATTAATTTTTTGTTTAGGATTCTAGAAACAATATTTTTATGGATACTCAAAATATTTTTCAATAAATTTTCTCACAACTATTCATTTGAATGTATAAATAATGTCCCATAAAATAAATAAATATGTCTCTCTATATAACTTTTTTACTATATCAAACTAGAAGAAAAAACGAATCCTTTCCCAAGAAAATCTTTTTTTTTTATACATGTTTGATCCAAAAATTTTTTTAAGGGTTTCCACTAGACTACGTGGAAACATTTTTATATTTTTTACTATATTAAAAGAATATTTGATTAAGCCAAAATCAATAATCATCTATCTCATTATTATAAGATTATAGATATATAATGTTTTATACATTTTATACAAGGCGTTCAGTTAGTAAGGAAACAGGTAAGTTGTTACAAACTATGATAACAATAGAAACCGTTTCCTTACTTATTGAACATTCTATATATGTATAATGTTTCTCTCTCTCATTGACTTAATTTTAAATAATTTTTTTTTTCAAAAAGTGAGCACCTATGTTGTGCGATATTTAGATAAATTTATTTAGATACAATAACTAGATAAAAAATATTAAACTTATGTGGCATCTAGTCCAAAAGAAACGTGTACCTGATTGCCAATCTTAGGTGCCATATTCTTATACTTAATAATTAAGTATTCAGCATACTATTACAGAAAAAACAAATTTTTTTATTACTTATTAAATAGAATCGTCAATATTCAATTGATGAAACATTTTAATTAAAATATCCATTCGCTCAATGTTATTACAGTAGCCAATTATAAAGTTTTTAGTATTTAAGAAATTAATATTTTTAGATGTTCTAAATTACAATCTAATCAGAGTAAAGGGAACAGTTATTGGCACCTTCAGAAAATATAAAGTTTTAAATCAGTGTATTAATCTGTTGACATCGGTGAAAATGTTTCACAAGTTCCTATCAATAAAAACTGTTGCTATATTTCGAATTTTTCTCTCATAATTTGTATAGATATGATACCATTATAAATTAATGGTTTTTTACAAAATGATAAAAAAATACAGTTATTGGACATTTTTTAATTGACACTCTTAAAAATTGAGTTAGTACCTATTACAGTTATATAAAAATTTAATTTTTGGTAAAAATGTAAAGTGAGTAATCTGGCTAACTATTAAAAAGAAAAATTATTTAAAAAAATCAAAACACTATTTTTTATTGATAAAATTAGGCTAATAACTGTACACATTACGCCATATCGAACTCATACGGAACCAGATAAAGTGGAAACTGATATATATACATATATACAAATGTTGTTATGATTAAAACCACTATTTTTGAAATGCTACCATGTGAATTTTTAGTTCATAATTTTTTTACTTCTGAGCAATTTTGTTTTAATTTAACTAAATTTAAAATAGGTACTATTTAATTTCCGGAACATGTTATTTAACACGTTAAATTAGCAAATTATTAGATTTAAAAAAAGAAAATATTATTCTTCATCCAATCATTCTTTCTAAAAATACTTGAAATAGACGCAGAATTGAGAATTTTAAATGCAAATGTGAATTTTCATCATAACTATAGTGTATTTATTTAAATTTCAACATTTTGAACATTTTTGATATTAGATAATTTTGTTCAATGAAATATTTAAGGTATTAATTTTTTTTTATGAAGTCTCGTATATTGAAAATATATGTAAAATTGACGTGTGAAATACAGCAATACGATTGAGTAAGAATTGTAACACCCATTTTGTATATTATTTAGATTGCAGTTAGTTTACCTCCCTTATGACATAGACAAAATAGCCAATAACTGAATAAACCATGTACAGTACATCGCCCGGTTTCTCTATTTTTTTGATCAACCGAATAAACTGTAAGGTATGTACTTTATTATGTATAGTCAATTCTGAGTGTACACATTTCCCCGTAGTAGAATAATAAATTCACATACTCTACACAAGCGTATACGTAGTAATAATACATCGTATCTATGACATGCCTACGCAGAAACGATAGTTCGGCATATCGGCTTTGTTTCGGTTTGTTTGAAAACTAGTAGAAAATAAATGAAAAAAAAAGCTTCGGCAAAAAAAAGATCTGTTCGAAGATAAGTGTAACAACCAAACTAGGATTCCCCGCGGGAAACCTGCACCGTCGGATATGTGGTACGTTGTAACAAATGGCCGAGACTTATCTGGTGGACAGAAAGTCGTAAACCGCGTCAGCTAGGCAACCATCGCTGTTTTTCAATTCCCAACGCGTCTGTCCGCCAGGAATTGTGTGGTTTTCGGATGCTCCGGCTCGGAAAACACCATGTACAATGGATATCCAAAAGGGAATCACCGGTTTGTAAATTAAATCCACTGACTAAACATACATAGTGACATTCAGTATACCTTGGAAATTTAAAGGAATTTGAATAAACAAAGCTGATTTTCTTTTTATTGGACAACAAAATTGGAATCTTTCATAAAAACTTGTAATTTTTATTGTAATACATTTATTACATTTGAACTCTAGTACTTTATTTGTAGTTATATCAAATCCGCAAGTAGAAACTATTAAAATACCTGATTAATAATCAATAGGAGATAAACAGTAAAACTTTAAAAAAAGAAGGGCTAGGTATATTTTTTTTAAGTTTAATCGTCATAAAAATATTAAAGTCTATTGGTTTGAATATAGTTAATAGAATCGTACTCGTATCATATGATACTTCGTGTGTCACGGTACAATGAACGCATTCCGTTTAATTTGTGAAACAAATCTACATCTTAGCTCAAGTGAGTTCTAACCAATGAATAAATTCGTTTATTCGATACTTAATGATACTAGTAGCGTGGGATGCTGCGAAATTCAATAATGTGTCTTGTTCAGGAATTCAACAACTAGTTTTCGATTGTAGCAATCAAATCGCTTTAATTTGCTGCCATTCTCTTAAAACATGCCCGTGGATCACTAAAGGAATATTTTCCCAAATAACTGAGATATTTCATGACATAGGGTGTTATAAAAATTTACTTACATCAAATTTTTATATATTATTAAAAGCAAAAAATATGGGGCGTACTGATGTTAAGCTGCGCTTTTTGCTGTTGGTTCTTGAATGGGTGACCATATGAGGGAACTTTAACATGTGACACACGCTTTGCCCCATACTAGTTCTCTCGATCATGATGAGATTGGGTCATGTAACCGATGTAAGATTCAAATCATTAAGGCAGAATCGACTCTATTGTTAATATAGAGACTAATGTAAATTTCAAAATGATAATTCTAATTATTAAATAAAATAAAAATATTACTAAAATTGTATTACAATGTGTGTAGTTTGATGTTTTTACAAAAAAAACTTGCTCTTTTAGGTGATACATATATATATATATATATATTAATAAATGAACAAGTTAAATTTGTAGAAAATTATACTTAAGTTCGCATAAATTATATTTTTAATATTTATAAAACTTTTCTAAAAAATAATACAAATAATAATTAGAAAAATAATTTAGTTAAATAACTCAACTGTATTTCTTGTGATTTCATACCATACATAAACCAGTTTTCCGTTTTCGGTCGAATTTATTAGCAACTGAAAGGCCTACAAGAAAAAAAAATTTTACACATAAAAACTGACTGAGGTAGTCAATCATATTTTACATATTATTATTATATTTATTATTATAAGCTATTAATCCTACTTTAATAATGAAAAAAAAATCGTATCAAAAGAAATTCCTCTATTTGTAATATTATATTTACTGTAAATTTAAATATAAAGTTGTGATAATATTTTAATTTAATACTTTTTATATTATAGTAAATATTTATTTTTAATAAGCCCAAAACTTTGTCAAAATCATTTGTACAATTAAACTTTATCGTTGTTCCAAAAAGAAAAATACAGAATTCTTTGAAACAAAAATTACTACATGTTTTCAATTTTTTATTCATTTAGTGAATTGACAAAAGATTTTTGTTTGAATATCTACTCAAAAACAAAAGTCGAGTTACGATATTATGTTCTAGATAGAGAGTCATTAAATAGTTTTAAACGAAATATTAAAAAAATATACACATTTATGGTAAACATAAAAAGAGAATTGTGTTGGAATGAATTTAAATTAAAAATTATTATTGATTATTTTATTTGTGTCTATTGTAATCGCAAATTACTGTGAAATTAGAAGTTATTTGAATATTTTAACAAGTTGATGACATTTTGTTGACTTTTAACACTTACAATAAAGTACTGGGCACAATAATAAGAATGTTAAGCTAGACTAGAACCGAGTAGAGGAGAGGAAAAGTTAATGATGAACATTTTGGTAGGCGACATCCAAGAGTTTTGAAAACTCAATGGCCTTTCTTATATTACACACCTGAGCTAGGGTTATATTGTGAATTCCACCGAGCCTCTTAATGTTTTATATGGACTTATATGAGAAGATTTTGTTTACCGTAAACCCGTAAATAAGTTAGAAAGTTTGGCCGTTCTTGGGTTATGTCTAAAGAAAGAGTTTTGTTTTTAAAGGTATTTAAAGGTATAAAGGTATTCATTTGTCACAACCCGTCAACTACGAGTAGTATTGCTCTCCTGAGTGTTAAATTTTCCTTTGTATTTAAGAAACATAATAGTAAATAACTCGAAACCTAACACAAAACATAAATAATTTTATTGGAATATAAAAGAAAAACAATTGGAAACTTGAAGTTAAAAACTTTTTTTAAATATATTTAAAATAGGTATTTAAATATTTTCAGAATAAAGTATTAAATACAAGTACAAATAATTTTCAAAAGTGTTCCAAGTACTTTGAAATACTATTTTTAAAAGACTTATTTTTATTAATATTTTAGATAATTTTTTCGTTGAAAATCACAAACTTTACCGGAAAAGGGGGATCATCATAAGGGACCGATAATAGCCTGATTTGCTACTCTAGTGTGGACCTTGGAGTTATTTACAAACGTTAGTCTCAGTACTTGGTTATCGCTGTCCGGTTTTCAACCTTATGTCAAGAGTTTGTTTATTTACTCTTCACGCCTTTGCCTACCTTGTATCCTCTCCTATTTTGCTCAAGTACTTATGTCTAGCAAATTGTATTTGGTTATATCCTGTTTCTGGTACGTTTAATATTTGTATCTTGTATTTTGTTTGCACCTTAGTATTTTTCTTATTTTTCTTTTAACTATGTCTCTTTGACACCCTCGGAAGTACTGGAGCATATTGCGACTATCAACATTCACACATACACAACACATAGTGTTAATTGCTTAATTTTGTTTTACGACAGTATTCATTTGTCATATAAAGTTAGAAACTTGACATTCCCCTGAAGTTTGTCATATGAAATTTCTTAATCAATAAAAATATTTTTTTATTTTTTAAACGTCAGTTAAGTGATACTTATGTATTGTATACACATATAAATATTATTTATATATAAATAATAATATATTATAATTTATATAAATATAAATCTAATTTAATGATATTACACAGTCGTAATAATTCAACACGACACATTTTTAACACATTTTAGAAACTCAAATATGTAATACATTTTATGTTATTTTTTGCACTTGAATAACGATTCTCCAAAAATTTTTGGTAAATACTCATTTAAGTAAATCATTTTCTTAAAATATTCAAAATTATTTCCAACATTAAATCACTGACGACTTAGATATATTTGGCTGGAAATGCCAATGTGGTTACAGTACTTTCAAGTACTTACCTCTAATAGAAACCGACTGTTTCTCTAAGTGAAAAGAGATAATAACTGCAACTTAAAATACAATAAATACACATTTTATTTACTATAAGTTAACTATATGTTTAAAAAAATACTACGATTAATAAAATATACTTAAATTTAATTATTTTTGATATTAATTATTATTATTTGAAGAATTATTGTACAAAAAAATATACTTGACGGCATACTTAGGCTCTTTAAGGTAATGTGTAAATGGCGAAAACTAGAAAATCTACTAAAAGCAGCTAAAGCAGTTTATAGAAGTGAACAAACTAAAACTTAAATATGACTTAAGAAAAACGGCGTTCATCAGCTGTATTGGACAGGGTATGTATAAAATTCTGAGGGATTTATATATTAGTAGTACACCAGAACTTCTAAAAGACAAAACTTTTGAAGAGTTATGTCAGATTAAGAACAAGCCCATTGAAATAATTGAGAAAGATTTCATAATGTTTTTTTTTTTTTGGTCTATTTCATAATAAATATTTTTTAATAATTTTAGATTCATATGCTTAGTGGTTAAAAATTAAAATTATAAATAACATTAATAAAATAATAATAAATAAGAGTTGAGAAAATGTTAAGTATGTGAGGAATACTATTCACAGATAATGGTTATCGATTGACATCACCCAATATTAAACATTATTTAAAATGAAATGGAATAAAATAGTTTAAAACAGCTCTAGGACATTTCGCAAATAATAGAACTGCTAAAGACTTGAAAACACGCCTTATCGGCTGCATTAACCGATGGTATAAATAAAAACATAAATATATTTACATAATAAAAACAGAATTTTGCTATGATGTAGAAATACTACACGTGGCTACACGTGAAGCATCAACTCAGTTGATGATAGTTAGATTGTTGCGTTGTAGGTAAGATATTTTTCATTCGTTTGTTATGAAAACGATAAAAGATAAACAAGTTATTTATTATGGAGGAAATTTCAATAAATTGTATTTATCTGGTCTGTAGAACTATTAATTTCATTAAAACTAGAGCATAAAAAATATATTTTACAAATTAAAAATTTGTTTTAAAAAAAAAATCAAGTTACTTGAGCTGTATCATTTATTTATTGAAGCTTATTGACCATGGTTTTATTCAATAGAAATAAATGAAAGCCATATTTTTATTTTTCAAAAAAATGCTTCATCAAGATGGGGCAGATTAAACATTGCACAAGGATATGAATAGGTGCTTTTGTCCGACCGTACCGCCGTTTAGAATTAATTCGAGTATAAACGATTATTCAATTACCGTGGCATTAAATTGTAATCGACCCGAGGGACGTCTTGAAACATGGTAGATAACTAGTCCAAAGGCTGTCCTTACAGAAATATATGTATAATAAATAAACGCGAACACAAGGGAAGATTTGCTAATTACGCCTATGACTATGCCACCAACAACGTCGACCCTAAATTGAAGACGGAACAGAAGGTTAGCCATGAAAATAATGATCCAACCAAACGGTCACATTTGGCCAAATTTGTTGACGACAATAGTTTAACGACCGATATTGTTGTTCGCTATGNCCATGAAAATAATGATCCAACCAAACGGTCACATTTGGCCAAATTTGTTGACGACAATAGTTTAACGACCGATATTGTTGTTTGCTATGCATAAACGCCGTTAAAGGCTTATTACATTAAATATAACAACTCGCTTTCTTCCTTTGCATTATATCTTCACTTCAAAAGTATCATACTTTGTAGAATTGTTGCAAAAAATTAAAAGATTAAACTCGACGTCGTACTACAATACTAATGAGTCTAGTAATTACAATTACAATAATGGGTTAATCCACTGTTAGTAATTAGCATAATCAAATGCATGTTTTATATGGTGAATCGTACGGGAAAAAATAGTTATAGTAGAACCAGCTGAAATTTTTATCAATACAATAATTTAATGTCAATTATATAGTTGGAAGAACTATGAACAATGAACATTTTTAGTTGAAATTTATTTAGTAACTCCAACTGAAATTATAGTCAGGTTAACTATTTGAGTTCATTGTTCCGACTAGGTATCTATGTTTTCATTATAAGCATTAGCCATAACTATAAAATAATTTTTCTATTTAAGAATTTATAAAAGTACTATAAAACTCAATAATATTTTGATGATTGGAATACGTAAAATATTTTGTATGATGTATACAACTCGCTTTATGATATCAGATTTTCTTTCATCAAATATTATGTTATATGAGACAATGACATATCTAAAATTAGACAAATTTAATTAAGTTTGAAAAATAATAATATGAATAGTCTTAATATTAGTTTTAATTTAACGAAGACATCTTTATTATTAACATTGATAAATAGCACGTTTGGTATTATTTAACAGAACAAAAATTTTCATTTTAATAATAATAAACTTAAATACATCTTTGAATAATAATTCCAAGAAAAATGATTATTGTAGGTGTGGAAATTCAAAATGATTTTAATATTGCTATAGATTAATAATTACTTTTAACTCGTGAAGAAATTACATTTAGTATATTCAAAATTTGACATTTCGGTGAAATGATGACTTGCCCTTTTTATTTTTAATAGATATTGTAGTCGATTCTTTTTGTGAAATTTCCAGAACACTTTATTTTTCACTTCCATTGCTTAGAATTAAATCACAGCATGATTTTTGTTCATTATAGTTTACACAAAACTTTATCAACTTATTTAATTTTAAAAAAATTAAAAAGAAAAATAAACAAATAATATTTTTACTAACCTTTAATAATAAAAATATTTTACTAGTTTTAATAACAGTCGTACATGAAAAGTATTATGAAACCGTTTTTTTCTATAAATAATTTGTTTTGGAATTTTGATAAATTTCAACTGTATATATAATATATTTATCTATATTATACCTATTTGGAAAAAAATCGATACTTGTAAGGTATTAATTTTGTTTTTTTTTTTATCTGATCAGATAGTTGTCCTGTGATCAAATCGTTACAGTATCAATTTCATTATTTATAAACAATTAAACTTCAACTAACTTCAAGCAAAAAGTAAAGTAAATTACTCTACAGTTAAGAAATTATAGTTCAAATACTGAAACTAGATTTTGAATAAAATACAATATGTCTATCAAATTATACTTCATAATAATCTATTTGTAAAGTCAATCAAGTGTTTGGTCCACCAAGTTAATAGTAAAGACACGATGTATTATTTTGAGGTATTTTTACTTAAATCAACCCTACTGTAATTACATCTGACTACGAGGAGTTTCTTCGATCATTAGACAGCACAATAAAACTATTGATAAAATATAACAGTGTAAACTGAGATTCTTTCAAAAATAATTTTGATTGAACAATAATGATAACATACATCTTGCAGTTATAGGTTTGTCGTGTTTACTTTACCAAAACAATAATTGTATAAATGTTTAGGGATATGTCCCATATTAAGTGAAAAATATTCTCTATAATATAGTAACAGTAATAATATTAACTTACAAAAATACCATTGTGAAGACACTCATTATTAAAAATACTACTTAAGTATCTATATGAACGTATACAATTATAAAATAAATTATTTTAATTGGTCTCATGTCTTGCATTTTTAGTTTTAATTCTAGATTAATCCAGGAAATTTAACTAACGTTATAGAAATCACTCAAATGAGTCAAAATACTAGGAAAATATGAATTATGATGATATTGATATATAAATGATTACACTCATTACTTTGAAAAATACAAAAAAAAAATGATTTTATTTAAAAATAATTAAATTGATTTATTTTACTTATATAGCAAAATTAATAAACGAAGAGAGCAATACTTGCTGTAATACTAAGATAAAGACAAATTCAGTCAATAAACATAAATTTACGAAGAAAGCAAGAACAATATCTTCAATTCCCTTTAAAATAGATTAACATAACCTTTTAGTTAAGGTTTCTCGACAATTGTTTTAAACTTTCAAAAACTTCAAAATTATAAATTAACAATGTTAATTATGTCATATTATATAACAGAATCAAAAGGAAGCGTAGTAGGCGAAATTTTAGAAAAATAGCTGTAACACATTGAATATTTTATTCATTACAATTTTTTTTTTAATGGTGTAGTTTAACATACAAAATGTTTAAGATAATTCATTATAAACATTTTGTTGTACAACATTTTCTAATAACTTTAAATTTAGATAACTTTTTGAATTGTGACTACTATCTAAATTCGTTTTTGAAAAAACTTGAAAATCTAGATTTACCTTAATATTGAGTAAATAATTTCTGAATTTGTTTAAATATTTTCTAAAGCATTATAGTTTTATAATTATCTTTTTTATAGTATTTTGTTTATTAATAATTTTCGATATAATAAATTTAAATATTTTTCATTTTCTTTTGTTTTTTTACAAAAAAAAATTAATAAAGAAATGATCGTGTATTATTTTTTAATAAATGTCTATTTGAGTATAATAATTTTATGTAATTATAAAAATTTCATTTATTGTCACATTATATAAAAAGTGTATTTAGACATTTATCCGCTAGATCACTCG